CTTTGTGATGTCCCTGAGATCAGCAAGACGTATTCTTCCTGTTCATCGTCTCTGCGGGATAGTTTAGGTCCGATTGGACCACTCAGTGGCAAAAGTATCAGCGGCAGTCTCGGATCATCGAGACCGCATGTCCGTATCGTCGCAATGTTGGCTCCTACTCCATAAATGTCATTAACTAATGATGTGTTGAAGAGGGCAGCAAGGCTGTTAGATTAACCAGTCGCTTTGTCTATCACAACCCATGCAAGCAAATTCAGGACCATGCCATCTGGCAGTGATCTAGTACAGATGCAGTAGGATCTGGCCAGGGATCAGCAATGGGAGCAACAGATGACATGCCAGTAGTCTGTCAATACGTTTGTAACTTGGTAATCAGAAAGGTTCTACCTGCCTCTTTCCAATCCTTTGATTTGATCTTCATTATTTGGTTTACCATTTCTAGGTCAAATGAGGAGGAGGAGGAGGAGGAGGAGGAGGAAGAGGAGGAGAAGGAGGAAGAATGGAAAGACTGTCCTGATTATACAACTTCTGGTGAAAACAGCTGTTACTTCAATGCATCCTTCACCTCCATTTGGGTCCCTTACTCTGTTCGGCTTTACATTGCCGATCAGCTATACGATGAAAAAGATTTCCGGGTGGAAGAGATAGGTACTCTTGATATTAATCCCCTTTGCTTTGCTTCTTAGACTAGAGTAAAAGTTTCACACACAAGGATTTTCATAAAATAAATTCATCAGCTCCTATTATAATTTGTGCTTTTCTCTAACCTTCCTGCAATGGAAATTGTGTCCCATTCTGAATCTCTTCCTGATTCTGGATGAAGATATCATTTATCCTTCCCAGTTCCTGCCTATCTTTGCTCTTTACAACTTAGAGAAGCATGACTTTACTACTCTTGTCTAGCAGGTTTAGTTCAGGTTCAGTTTGATTCTAGTAAGTTCTAGGTAGGTCTTCCCATAACAACAACCCTTTGGAGTACATTGGGCTGAGAGCAAGATCTAAAATCACTGCTCGCTATTACAGTGGCTCAATTCAAAACCCTATTCAGAATTAAAATAGCTAAATTTGAGACTTTGAAGCAGATGGGGCCATTACTCCACATATATGTAGAGGTACCAGTAAGAAAGAGGGTGACTGTCCCAGGTACAAGGGGAGAACCTTATTGAAAACTATTTTAGGGCTTATAGTATAGTGTTCGTCTGTATCCTTTCTTAAATGGGAAAATAATGCATTGGTGCCAGTTTTCAATAACTGTGCTGCCAAGATGTGACAGTCATATCCTGGGGAACATTAAGAAAAAGTTAATGGACTATAATAACTCCTAAGATGCTATTCCTCACCCTGACCTAGAAAATCACTGCTGGTCAGAATCCCAAACTGCTTTTTAAGCATAGGAACTTTACTACCCTTCCTCAGTCCAATTTCAAAATGCCAGTTCAATTTGTGCATTAAGTATTTTAAAATATACAACAGTCTTTTCAAAATAATACTGTTTGCATTATTTATTCTAGGCTGTGTAAACAGTTCTATAATGTTCTAGGCTGCATAAACAGAAGGATAGAATCAAGATCACGTGAAGTGTTAATACCACTTTATAAGGCCTTGGTAAGGCCACACTTGGAATACTGCATTCAGTTTTGGTCACCACGATGTAGAAAAGATGAGGAGACTCTAGAAAGAGTGCAGAGAAGAGCAACAAAGATGATTAGGGGAATGGAGGCTAAAACATATGAAGAACGGTTGCAGGAACTGGGTATGTCTAGTTTAATGAAAAGAAGGACTAGGGGAGACATGATAGCAATGCTCCAATATCTCAGGGGCTGCCACAAAGAAAAGGGAGTCAAGCTATTCTCCAGAGTGCCTAAAGGCAGAACAAGAAACAATGGGTGGAAACTAATCAAGGAGAGAAGCAGCCTAGAACTAAGGAGAAATTTCCTGACAGAACAATTAATCAGTGGAACAGCTTGTCTCCAGTAGTTGTGAATGCTCCAACACTGGACGTTTTTAACAAGATGTTGGATAGACATTTGCCTGAAACAGTACAGGGTTTCTGGCCTAGGCAGGGGGTTGGACTAGAAGACCTCCAAGATCCCTTCCAACTCTGCTATTGTATTGTATTGTATTGTATTGTATTTATGATGTGTGCTGATGGGAGGGGTATACTGTTAATAGACTTTTTCTATTACATTTTGATTAACTCTGTGGAAAAATACGTTTAAATCACAGTCGTTCCAGATCCTCCATTTGGGCTGAACTGGACAGTGCTATACACCAGCCCAAGTCGTGTCTTTACTGATGTTCAGGTTTCATGGAAGCCTCCACTCTCTGCAGATGTTGTTAATGGATGGATCATACCTGTCTATCAGCTTCAGTATAAATCCGTCAATGAAACAGAATGGCATGAGGTATGTATTGCAAGAACAAAACTTAGATACCTTCCTCAGAGTTATTGGGAATGAGAAAGAAATATCAGGGACCTGCAAAAGCTTAAAAGCTTGTAATTTACAGTTTGGGAAATACTTTGAAAACAATACATCTGCATATTTGCAAATCAATGAGTTACCATATATATTCATAGACTCTATAAACATACTCTGTTTTCCTATGTAATATATAGTGCAAGTGAGAGCAACACACTTTAGTGATTCCACAGTCCCAGCTCTCTCTTTCTATTTCTCATACTGTGTTTTCCTCCCTTGCCTCGTGTATTCAGTATTTAATATTTAGTAGATGGAGATCCCACTATTTAATAGACCTCTGACATTTCCCCCTCTGCTTCTCTACATCCCTCTTGCATATGGATAAGGCCAATAGCACAGCTTGAACTTAAAAATAAGCATTGTATTACATCAACAATGTACACTACAGTAGACATGTAGTCCAAAAATAAACTTGCACAGTTAAGTTCACAGCCTGCCGTAAAAGAAAAAAAATATATGGCCTCACATTTTAGAATTATCTGCAATTTATACAGAACCATAGAGGTGGGAGGATCTTAGGGATCACCTAATCTAAATATTGTTCAGAAGATTCAGTAGAACATCTTTTCACAGTTGATCCCAAGTTTCTCTGAAGAGTAAAGGAGGTGTTTAACTTGAATTTGTTTCCTTATACTTTTAATATACTGGTTTGTGTCTTGCTCTCTAGGGTGACAAAGAATAAGTCCACTTCCTCTTCTACATATCAAATATTTGAAGACAGCTATCATATTTCCTCTCAGTCTCTTCTGTGGTCTAGATATTCCCAAAACCTTTAACCATTCCTCAAGGGGGTTGTTTCCATGACCTTCATATTTTCAGTAGCCCTCTTCCAAACTAACTCCAATTGGTCACTACCCTTTTTGAATGTCCTAAACAGACATAGTATTCCAAGTGGGGTCTGATCAGGGTAGAGTCAAGTGGAACAATTATTTTCCATGAAATGATTTATATGCTTCTGTTAATACAGCTCAAGATTGCACTTGCCTTTTTAGCAATTAACATCTCAACCTCTGGCTCATGTCAACAAGGGCATCCGAAAACTCTTTTCCATTTATTTCTACAAGCCACGACTGTCCCATCCCGTATACTGTATGTGCCCTACATTTTTCCCCATAGGTGCAGAATTTTATTTTTCTCCCTATAGAATTCCCTCCCATTTCAATTAATCATTTTCAATCAAACTTTCCAGTTTTGTATCACGTGCAAAATTCTTAAGTGTCCACTCAACCCTCATTCAATTCATTGATTAAAAGATTGGAAAATATTAGAACCACTTGCTGATAAATAAGTTCTAATAGACTACATATTAAGGTAGTATCCACCTTAATATTGTTGTAGAAGAAGCATTTCCCAGGGGTTGTTGTTTTTTCTTATGGGTGGTTGAGGATTATGTGTATTGAAGTCTATCACATCTGGAAGGTTAAGTTTAGGAAAGAATGTTCTAGAATTTCAAAACATTCAGATCCTAATTCTGCCTCCTTGCTTAAGTTTTGTATTTAAAGAGTACTTTTCTTTATGAGTAGCAACAATCAGTTGAGGAGATTCAATGTATTATTACAGGTGGATTCAAAACATGCCACAGAAGTTCCAGTATATTCTTTAAAGACATGCCGAGATTATGAGATGCGGGTTCGAGCAAAAGGATTACCTGAAATTTATGGCGAATTCAGTGACATCCTGTATGTATCATTTGATTCAAAAGGACTGGTGCCATGTGAAGAAGGTGAGAAAAATCTCTTCTATGATGTTGCTTTTGAAATATTTTCTTAACACCTTGCATCAGAACTCACTACAAACTATTGTATGCCCATACGGATGGAAACTAATCAAGGAGAAAAGCAACATAGAACTAAGAGGAAATTTCCTGACAGTTAAAACAATTAATCAGTGGAACAACTTGGCTCCATAAATTGTGAATGCTCCAACACTGGAAGTTTTTGAGAAGAGATTGGACAACCAGTTGTCTGAAATGGCATAGGGCCATGATGGTGAACCTATGACACGTGTGCTCAAAATGGCACGCGGAGCCATGTCGCGTGGTATGTGCAGCGTTGCCCATTCCTCTTCCAGGTTTCCGGCGCACTTGCACCCACGACAATCAACTGGCCTTTGTGTGTGCAGCAGTGCTGGAAACTGGAAGAACTGGTCTTCCATTTTCCAATGAGAGCATGCGCGCTGGCCAGCTGATTGTCGCACACGCATGTGAGCCAGTAACTGGAAGACTAGCTGACCAGCGCACGTGTGCATGCCAGAAACCAGAAATTCATTTTCCGGGACACGCATGCCTCCTGGGCAGCTCCTCTTCTGGGTTGTGGGCCAGACGAGCACACATGTGCGAAATGGACACACGGGGTCCACCATCACTGGTATGGGGTCTCTTGCCTAAGCAATGGGTTGGACATGAAGACCTCCAAGGTCCCTTCCAACTCTGTTGTTCTGTATTTGGCTCACCCTGTGCATGGAATGCTTGAGAACATGTGCAACATTCTTCTGAACCCAACTTTCCCATGGGAATATGAGCCTTGCACAGAATCTTTAGCCTAGAAAACAAGCCATGCTTCCTCTTATGCCATTTTTTGCTGGAATCTGAATTGGTAGCACTGGGGAAAATGAACTGTAATGGTATGTGAGAATGACCTTAAAGGACAAGGGGAAGAGATGCGGTCTAGGGAAAGATCAGTCAAGAGAGGAAGGAGCCCCTAGTGGTTTAACAGCCAGAGCAAAACACACACACACACACACACACCTTAGAAAACACCTACCCTAATTCATCATGCTATTAAAAGTGACATCAGGAGATTTGCACTTTCGGAGTGGTAAGACTCTTTTGATGTAATGATACGATAAAGTAGATTTAGATGAGCTGGTCATATTTCCTGTCTGATTCACCTGGGAGGGCTGACTGAATCTATTGTGTAAACCAGTGGTAGTCAACCTGGTCCCTACCGCCCACTAGTGGGCGTTCCAGCTTTCGTGGTGGGCGGTAGGGGTTTGCTGTAACTCTGCTTTGTAAATTTTATAAAGTAAAGTTACTTCCCTACTTTATAAATCACCATTACTGTGGAACCGGTGGGCGGTTAGAAAATTTTACTACTAACAGAGATATACAAAAGTGGGCGGTAGGTATAAAAAGGTTAACTACCTCTGCTCTAGGCCTTCAAAATTCATGGCACATATTCAGATTGTTTTATAGAAATGAAAAAGTGAGCAAAAGCTAAAACAGTTTAATTTGAATAAGG